GAGAGGCGCGGAGACGCGGCGACCGGACGGCCCGCCAGCTGGATGGGCGGCACGTAGACGGAGCGGGCGGTGAGGACCGTGCCGAGCGACTGCAGCTGAGCTCAGCGCCGGGACTGTGAGTACAGCAGCCGCCAGTGTGTTAGCGCTAGCGTGCAGCCCCTCTGTGTGTGGTTTAAATGCCAATGTAACTAACTGCCATTATGTCTCCATGCATAAAAATTCGACCGAATATGTCTAACAAACTTTTGAGGTCATATCATTCGGTAATAACCTAACTTGCTCTTGGCACGCAGTTTAGACAGAGGTATAATTCGGTATCAAATCTGAAGTAAACAAAGCAAACTAGGATCAACAGGGGCGAGACCCATGGAGTGTCAACAGATATATAAAGAATCAAGTCATGTGTGAGTAAATCATGTAATCATTAGCTTCCTCTCCGTCTGGATTGTCAGAGTAGGGCCTCTTGCCATTTTGACAGGCCTGGTGACGAGCGATGAGTGTCACCCCCTGGTTATGCTCTTTTCAGGGCATTCTGGATTTGAAACCGCAATAGAACCCGGTCTAATTATGCTAGCGTGAAAAGAGCAAAGCTGACGTTGCGGAGCCCTTAAAAATATATATTTATAGTCCCTTAACCATGAGTTCTCCACTCGTGTAAAATTGTATTTTATTGCAGATGATGATGTCGCTCACTGCGCTTTTCGCATAAGACGACTTAGACTTAGGGGAATGTATAATGTTGATTTAAATTATAATGCTACTTTATGGTGCTTGCATGCCTGGTTATTCCCAAAATGAGCAGACATTTGTACATATTCAATAGCAGTGTAGACAACTGTACAATTCATTGTTACCTTTGTAAATCATGCAGTCATCAGCGTCATGTGATCTTGCACAATCAGCATTACCGTAGCCGACCGATGAAACACGCGGCAGGAATGCACCTGTCGCAGTACTCAACAATCACGCCGGTCCGCCTCATGTTGTGCTGCACGAAGTTCACAAATTCACCAGGTGAACGCCTGAACAAAATGTCACGTCCGCTGAGCCGCTCCAAGGTATGCCATGTGTGCGGCTGCACATGAAGGAATGCTCCGATGACCTGGCCACAATGTAGCGTTTTAAATAATGGCTCCGAGCGGCGGACGCATGGTATGAGGCGCCGCCGTTTCATGCTTTTATGAGTGCTTTTAACACGCGCCCGGGCGGCCGCCTAGACACCCTTCGCTCGGGTGGGGTCCAACTTGACCCCACTAAGATCTCGGGAACTAAGAAAGCTAGAGACACTAAATTTACGGGGTGTGTTGAGCTGTACGTGAACTCACTCAGGTCAAAGTTTCAGGTTCCTAGGTCATGACCTTCAGGTCACAAAAGGTTAAACAAAGTCAAGTTTCAGGTTGATCCCTTAAATGCCCCAGAACCTAGATAACCGTTTCTAAGCAAAAGGTCACATTCTTATTCAAGGTCAGTGACCTTGTTTGACGTTTTGAAGATCAAGGTGACCAAAATCATGCAGTATTGCTTTGAGTTTTGCATTTGACTAAGCGACAAAGATGAAGCTAGGCAATATGTTGCTAAAACAAAATGTTGTCCTGGGTCATTTTAGGTCAATGACCTATTCTGACCTCTATTAAGTCCGTGGGAGATCATGATGCGGTTTCCGCTATCAATAAATTCGAAATGAGCACCAGAAACTATTCCATACAGCAAGCCCTAGAGTAACAAAACAGGTTGGTTTTGACATTGGTGTGACCTTCATACCTGACATTAGGTCAATGCAATTTGCTCATTCAACTGTTGTGTTGCCTAAGAAAGCGTCTCAGAGATGTATGGCTTCGTTTAACACTCCGCTGTTGGATCAGATTGAACGATTCCCTAAAAGTTGCCTTCGCTGAAACCATAGTCTGACTTTGACCTGCCATAGGCCAGCGACCTTAGAAGATGCATCTAAATTCTTTACGCAAAACGATTTGCTATTCAATTGTCTACAGCTATGCAAAATGTGGCTCGGCTACGCTGCACCGTTGGAAAACCGTTCTGGAAAAACCTTCGGGGGAGGTCAATTTGACCCCCACCCTAGCGCGTATTAAATACCACCATAATTGCAACAGTTCACGATGATGCCGCATTATGACTCCACATGCAGCCAGTAGCGCAGGCAGGGGGGAGCATGGGGGGCACGTGCCCCCTATGCTCCCCGGTTGACTCCGAAGTGGGCCTCTCGAAATCAACAAGCAGGGGTTCGATTTGATGGCCCAAAGGGCCCGAAGGTATTCTGTAGGTCGCATTCGGGAGCCCCGGACCGCAGAGCTGGTCACTCCAATGCCAGCCAGAGGGCGCTGTGCGCTGATCAGGGTCCCTGAGTCGATAAGGGCCCATATGTCGGTCAGAGACCACAAGTAACGTGAAGTCGCCTACGTGGCGGCATGGGCCTGAGGTCTCATTTCCTAGGCAGGAAGAAAGCCGTAGGCGGCGATTTACATTGGTCGAGGCCCCAGCATCTTTCGGGGCCTCACAGCCACTAACGGGAGCCTTGTGTTGGCAAAGGGCGCCAAGTCGGAGGCCCGAAGAGCCTAGAGGGCCCAACGGGTCCGATAATCAAGGGCTCGATTGGGGGGCCTAAGGGCACGAGGGGCTGGTCGGAGTCTTATTTAGGGGTCCGGCCAGCGAGAACGGATCCCCAAATAACAGTCAAGGGGCCCTTTGCGCCGATCAGTGACCCCATGAGTCGATATGGGCCTGTCTGTCGGTCAGGCACCACCAGAGCCGCGTAATCGCCACCGTGCTGGCATGGGCCGGAGAGCCCATCCCCCAAGCAGCGACAAAGCCGGCATCAATGATTTACACCGGTCGTGGGCCCTGTATCTGTCAGGGGCCCACGGCGCCTAACAGAGGGTCCTCCTCGCAAAGGCCCCGGGCCGACCAAGAGAAGTGCTCAATGAGGCCCGAAGAGAGGCCGGGCGGCCCACCGAAACCGGCGATCAAAGGTCCAGTTGGAGGAAATAAGGTCCCGAGGGACTGACTGCAGGTGACATAAATAATCGTGGCCTGTAGGATCGTGATCTGACATATTAGCCAGAGATTCTCTTGCACCGTTTAAGAACCCCCTGGGCCAATGCAGGCACCTAAGTCGGCCGGAGAATAACCACACCGAAAAGTCGGCTTCATGTCCATGAAGGCCCTTGCGACTCATTCCCAAAGCAGCAGGGAGACCGGGGCCCGCGATTTGCAAGTTTATGCGTCGTCGTCGTCGTGCGCCTGAGTGCGTCGTAAAGCCCCAATGACGCGCCGGCACTATCGGGCAGCACTGACAGGGATGGTCTGAGTTGCAGTCCCGTAAAACCGAGCGGCGTTGGCCGCTGCAAGGAACGCCAAGCGGCGGGTGCTGTGTGCTTAACGACGACGGTCGTAGAATGATATTTCTGAATATGCTTCAAAGCCAATTCGTACAGCTTGACGATAAGATTGAGTGAATCTTTTTTACAACTTTGAGGCTGAGGTTGTTAGAGGATAAATGTACGGCTTTGTGTCCTAAAGCGCTTGAAGGTACTTCTTTCAAATGCGTCATCATTTCCGTGGACCTGTTGCCCACGACCTAATATTAATCACGGGACCAGCGCTGCGCAACCCATGGAGACTGCAAAGCCTGGCGTCGAGGTTTTTGTTGCGAAGATATGGGACCACGCATGCCCAAAACTACGTCAAATAGTTTGTACCATTGATCGATTTCGACTAAATGTTGAACGCTGCAGGCAAACATAGCTTGGTCATGTTACTACAACCTATTGACCCATTTTGATATTTAACCTACATTCGCAGGGTCTCTGCTTATCTCTGCATAATCCAGATAAAAATTATAATAAAGGTTCTGAGTTTTATTGGTTTAAAAATATTTCGCATCATTAAAAAATGAAGGGCGCCAACGAGTTATTTCATAGTCATTTAACGCATGCTACTTTTGCTTTAATGGCTATAAACTTCAGTTTGATCTCGCGGTAGCGTGTGGCTTCTATTTCAGTTAGAGAGGGGAAAGTATTGTATATATATATATATATATATATATATATATCGATATAGAGAGAGAGAGAGAGAGAGAGGAGAGAGAGAGAGAGAGAGAGAGAGAGAGAGAGAGAGAGAGAGAGAGAGAGAGAGAGAGAGAGAGAGAGAGAGAGAGAGAGAGGAGAGAGAGAGAGAGAGAGAGAGAGAGAGAGAGAGAGAGAGAGAGAGAGATATATATATATATATATATATATATATATTACAGCTCTCTCTCTGCAAGGACTTATGCACGTTTAATCATTTCCTTGCGTGGTTGTTCGATCGTTCGAATTAAATCTGTCGTTGTTTCAGTGAGACATAGATCAGCTCGCGTATGACGATCTAAATTGGTTTCAGCTAACTAACGTTTCAAGGACATTCGTTTGCCTTTCTCAAGGCAATGTGAGACAGTAAGACGGAAAACATTCGAATGTGGCGCAATACGACGCACGGTCTACGAGACATAATTAAAGGCGAACCATCATGAACGTGAATATCAGTTCAAATTACAAAACACATTCAAACACACACACATACTTACCTCACTTTTCCAACCATTTTGACACCATGGCAAGTTCAAGGCATCGAATCACCCTGCTGCTATTGGGTCACTGAACAGTAAGTTGTTCAGTGTATTTGCGAGGATCATTATTGACGTGGATAAGACAGTTAAGTAAACGCCTTATTCCTCGGAGAAAAAACATGAGAATGACGACATAGATAGGTTTATGACCACTAAACAATTGTACCTAAAAAGAACGTCAAAAAATACAGGCGTTCTGGGCCGTCCACCCCTCACACCATCCCTGTCTCACCGTCTTACCGAGCAACTTCGGGGCGATGTTCAGTGACCAAAATACGTGCAGATTCCGTCCCCGTTTGTGTTACAGTGAACGGCAAAAGTCGGCGCGATCTGGAGAGATATTATGCCAGCGTTCTCGCTTTCAGATCTGGCCGACAGCATGGCGTCTCCGAAGACGTTCGGCCTAGTGGACTACTGCGTGTTCGGCAGCGTGCTGGTGTTCTCCCTGCTGATTGGCGTGTACCACGCCTTCCGCGGCAAACAGACCAACGCTGAGATGCTGCTTGGCGGCAGGAACATGGCCATTGTACCCGTGGCCATTTCCATCATGGCAACGTTCCTCTCGGCTATCCTGATTTTGGGTAAACTGCCAACTGTGTGGCGGGCTCGTGGTGAACCAGCGCCCTCTCGATAGGAGCTCTGATTTGCAAGGATGCATTATCGGAGGACAGAGCCTCATATCTCCACGCAGTCGTGAAGGAATAGAGATAGTTCTTTGGGCTCAAATGGACTTGACCCAGGCTTCCAGCTTACAGTTGCCTGTGTGTGGAGAAGTGTGATAGATATGTATAGATAGATAGATAGATAGATACCCATTAAAACACTACGACGACGGTGGCATCACCGGCAAGCAAACGGGGCACTATTTTTTAGACGAAGCCCTGTGGTGCCATTTCTTGGTAATGATGTACCCCACCTAGCAGTAATATTACGCCAACATCATGGCCGATGACGGTGCACCGGCCTGGGGCAGGTTCGCCAGCCGAGATGTACACGAACGGCGCGCAGTACTGGGTAGTGGTGCTCGCATTCGCAGTCGTCCTGCCCTCTGTGACCCTGCTCTACCTGCCCATCTTCTACCGATGCCGTCTGACGTCCGTCAACGAGTACCTGCAACTCAGGTACGCTGTCCGATGCCTGCCCATGCCGGCACAGTTACGGTCAGAGACGTAACAGCTTTTTGTTGGTGAGATGCAACCAGCGCAATGTGTCCCTACCGCCTCATGGTTGCATGTTCCAGATTTGACAGCCACGTCCTGCGGTTATTCTGCGTGTTGGGCTACCTGGTGCAGACATCGCTGTACATGGCCATCGCCCTGTACGCGCCCAGTCTGGCCTTGAGTTCCACCACTGACCTGAACCTGGAGACCAGCATCATCTGCACGGCCGTCGTGGCGACCCTCTACACAACGATTGTGAGCGGACCAACGAGCTGTGCGGTGCATGACGAGTTTGGCATCTTGATTCGTTGTTAGGCTATATGTCAGCCATTGAATAGTTAAAGTGAGGCATTTGGAAAAGGACAACTACAGTTGAGAAACAACCGGTCAGCACCTCCCGAATTATGATAATTTCCCGAGAAAATAAAGATGTACCGCTGTTTGTGGACGAGGATCACAGCGCTGCTTACAAAGAGCCCCGAGGTAATGAGGTGTTGTGTCCAAGGAGATATTCTGAGACAGTGACCGGGTGTTTCATTCTCAGGGAGGTCTCAAGGCCGTGGTCTGGGCTGATGTTCTCCAGGCGGTCGTCATGGGTGCCGGTATGGTGGCCATCGTTGTTCAAGGCTCCATCAACGTGGGAGGATTTGGCAACATATTCCACATCAACGCCGAGCATGGCAGGATGGATATGTTTGACTTTAAACTGAGTCCTTGGCAAAGGTAAATGCTCTGCTAGTGGACTCGGCTTGACGCAGGAGCCCTCATTGGCGCAACAAGCTCCCTGATCGCCACAGGTGGTCCACTAACGAACCCTTGGTTGAACTGGGGTGGAGCTCCGCCCCACCTACTCCTCTCCCGTTCGGTGCGGGTGGCCCTCAACGACACAGGGCCCTTTCATTGTTTCATTGTTACCTCTCATCATTAACGCCTCGTCAGAGGCTCCAGCCAGCACGCATTTCCCAATGGGGCTCTTAATCGCTGCGAGAGGCTCTCTGGCTGACATCCGAAGTCACGAGCTTGCGGGCCGGTGTACTTAATGTGACCTAGAGCCAACCCCTTGGGCATTTCAGCCTTTTTATCGGGCCCTTGACCGTTGGTCCCTTGGGGCCCGTCGGGCCCTTCTTTGGGTCCCCTTGAACACTGCCTCTGGCCACTCTGGAATCCTTACCAGCACAGGGCCCCCTGTCAGGCACAGTGGGCCCCTCATTGACTTAGTGTCTCCGGCCTTGTCCCTGCTTGGGAAATGGGCCCTGAGCCCTAGACCAAAACAGAGCAGACTGTTCTGTACCGGTGGCGTCTGACAGGCACAAAGAACATCATCGACGCAGTGGGCCAATTGGCGCAAAAGGTCCTGTGACTGACATTTGAGGACCAGACCCTTCGGACCAGACCCCATAATGGGACCTTCGGTCAGCCCTTCAGACCCTCAGGGCCCTCAGATCGGGCCGTTTATCGTGGGTCTCTAGGGGCCTGTCAAGCCCCTCGAAACCTAAGAAGGCACGTGTCCCCTGCTCCTCCCGCCTGCGCCATTAACCGCGTCACTTTGCCAACGTCACGCCTGCCTTTCCTTACGTGCACACCGAGTCAACGTAACAGCAAAACAAGCCGAGAAGTGTCTTGCATCAATCGTGTAAGATGTCGTGTGCTCGCCTCAGGCATAACTTCTGGAATCTGTTCTTCGGCACCTTGTTCATGTGGACCGGGGTGATGGGGGTGAACCAGAGCTCGGTACAACGCTACATGAGTCTACCCACCCTGAAGGCGGCTAGAATGTGAGTTACGTCCATTCGACCGCTCCAACTGTCACATAAATGTGGGGCTGTAATGCGCCAGCAACAACGCATCGACAGCCCCCAAGTCTCAGTTCCTTGGCAGACAGTTCCTCCAGATGCGACTCGTGTTTTGCGCCTAATGCCTGTTGCTAAACATGGCTTGCTTGTGGTTCTTCATACTTGCATATTCATTCTTGGAGTAAGAATTCTTTAAAAGTCTGTCATCAGCCCACCGGCCCTAAAAGCAAGCGAAGTCCGCTAAAACCGAGGCTTCGGGCTGGAGGAAGGCTTTGAATCGGAGGAAATCTCATCACCTCGCCGAAGACAAAGCCCGCAGTGGATATCTGTACTGCAGCGACATAGTTGATGCCTTTCAAAAGTGTACGTTCTGAAACTATTACCGGTGGGTTCAGCTGTGATTTGTGTCATACCAAAAGGTCACGTAGCCCCGTTTACAGGTTTAACTGGCTTTGTATAGCCTTGCATGTATCATTGTTGTAGTCGCATTCTGATATCGATGTGCATCCAAGCAAGGAGAGCTGCTGTGGCGGCCACATTTGTCCTACCCTGATAAGGGAACCAATGGCACCGCCGTCTGTTTCAGCGCCTGTCTCCTTAACGCCCCGGCCAACATTCTCTACATATCGCTGGCCTGTCTGTGCGGTCTGGCCATCTTCGCCACGTACGCCGACTGCGACCCGCTCCGGATGGCTCTCATCGAGAGGAAGGACCAGGTGCGGCTCCCGATCTGAGCGAGGAATGAGGACAGTTCTGACGTGAGGACCCACCGGTGGGTTGCCTAGCAACGGATGAAATCCGCGGAACGAAAGACCCACTGCGAAACAGGTGTAATCATTCATTTTAAATCAGTGTGTGAATCTCACGTGTTCCTAGAACAAGAAACGTAAGGATTTGTGAATGCTTTGATTGTAACTAGGAAGTTACCTTGCCAGTAATGTCAAGCCTGTGATTTAGACTTCACGAGCTCTGTGACTGTACCTTCGCTGCCTGAACACATGTGCGGCCTCGACAACACAACATGCAGAATGGTAAACACGCACGCGCGCCTGAATTCCTGGCATGCATACCTATTGGTCTCACAATCAGGTTTGGGCTACCAACTACCGATAGTATAGAAGGATGCCATCACAGCCTCCGGCCAGTCGATGACATTTTTTAACTGCTTTGGCAAATTGTTGTAGAATATGACCTACCTGAGCGTGACTCCTTACTTCTATTCTTAAGGTTTCAGGTTTACGCTTTGCCAGGTCCATGAGAACGACCGGGACACGCACGACCGGGCCCCCAAATGTCAGTCGGAAGGCTTCTTGTTCCTGTTGGGTACACCTTGGGACACCCTGAGGTACTCAGGGTCTCTATTTCGGTCCTAGGCCACCAACGACGAGCAGTCGGCTCCCTGTCGGCCTGAACTCTGAGGGCCCATTTCCCAAGCAAGGATAAGGTGGGAACCCATGATTTGCATTGGCCGTGATCCCTAGAGCAAAGAGGGCTTCTTTGTTGGCCAGTGGCCCTCAGTACCTAATAGAGGGCCCAATGTTGGTAAGGACTCAGGTCGGCCATGACACCATTTTCTGAACAGGGACAGGGATGAGACCCCGAATGTCGGGGGCCTGTTGCGTTGGTCAGGGTTTTCTGACAACGCAGGTGGATATGAGAGGTTACGATGAAAGTCCGCAATGAGAAATGAAACTCCCTTTGTCAGGCAGGGCCCCGGGATCGGACGGGGGCTATCCATCCCATTTCAATCAAGGCCCGTCATGCCAAACTTTAGTCTCTCTGGCAATTATTGGACACCTGCGACGAGAAGGGATATTTTGCACCAATAAAGACCTCTGAGTCTATCTGGGACCAAGTGGCCGGGCGGGTCAGGGAGCCTCCGGTGCAAGATAGGCAACCAGTGTATGATGCAACCTTCTAAGGGTGACCGTGTGACTAAGGGTGACCGTGTGACAACTAACTAAGGGTGACTAAGGGGATCCTGCCCCTGTGCCGCCAGCATGACAGCCGTTAGTCACCCAACGCTGTAATGGAACGGCCCCGAATCTCCTGACCGAGAAAGATAATGTGCCTCCTATTGTTCTATCCACTCGGTCCCTTGTCCGGAAAAGGTAAGGGTTTTCTTAGTGTTCAGTAGGGAGGATCGCAATGAGGCAAACGTTGAAACACTAACACAAACGAGGCCTGCATCCGCTTTTATGATCAACATGCGAAGCAAATTCCAAAAAAAAAAAAAAATAAAGCTCAGCCTACGTACTCACAATCCTAGGAACAAGAGCATCAACGAACGGAACTGCAGTTTGCATAACGCTAAGTGGCGTTGGCCACTGCAGACAACACCGGGATACCGGTGGTTACCTGGCGATGGGTACCTGACAACTTAGAACAGCCGTCGTGAAATGGTGCGTCAAAAGCCGTTAAAAATGAGCTCGTACCGCTCCGAAATTGGACCGCTGCATATATTTTACTTGTAGAATTCGAGGTTGTCCGACAGCAAAAACGAAAATAGAGGTAAATCGACAACCTTAAGTGTGCAATGTACTTCTTCAGAAACGCTGTCGTTCTCACCCGCCCGTTAGCCGCCGTCTAATATAAGTCTTAGAACTGACGCCACGCTGCCTCCGGAGACTGCAACGCCAGTTGCCAGGGTTTTCGTCGTAAGCCTTGTGAGCGCGCATGGCCAAAACTGTGTGATGTTATTATTCCACCACTCGACTCTAATATGTGGATGCTAATATGTCAATGCCCACCCACACCGGCGAGAGCGGAAATGTGTCTAAAGGTGCAGTTGCAACGTCCAACTCGAGCCGACTGTTCCATAGCCTGAATGGATATAATGTTTCTGTTCTAGCTGGTGCCCTACTTCGTGCTGGACCAGATGTCCTACATTACGGGTCTGCCGGGCCTCTTTGTGGCCTGCATCATGTCTGGAGCGCTCAGCACCATTTCCTCCGGCCTCAATTCGCTGGCAGCCATCACTTGGCAGGACTTCCTCAGCAACATCAACTTCTTCAAGAACATGTTGCCAATCACACAGTCTTGGATAACTAGAGGCATCAGTGAGTTTAGGGTAATTGAGTCAAATTCAGAACCGCTGTTGCAGAATCACTTTGTTCAATCTCAACAGGGAAACATCTTGCATACGCAGTTCTTTAACTGGCAACTGGCTTCAATGTATCAGCCTAATAAATTTGTGCATGTATTACATTAGAATGAGCGTGAACTCCGCCTTTCTGTCGACACGAGGCGCCTAAAATGCTCAATTTCGTGGCGATTGGTCTATTCAAATCCATGCAGAATCTTGCCACACCGCCATGCGTGCAAAGGAACGAAGATGTCAAAGAAAAGGCCTAACTCTAACGCGGTCATGTTTCGGCAGGTTTTCTTTACGGCTGTCTGGCAGTGGGCATGGCCTTCATGGCCAGCCAGCTCGGAGGAGTGCTGCAGGCTTCTCTGTCTATCACTGGAGCGGTCAGCGGTCCTGTGCATGGTGTCTTCATGCTGGGCATCTTCGTTCCGTTTTCCAACGGCAAGGTAAACGGGATGGTAATGAGATTCAGCGTCAGTTGGGTAAATTACGCAACTTACGATGGATTGATACACCTGTATTGTTGCGTGAGCAGCCGGAGGTATTTTCTGTTCTGTTTTCCAGTCCGGTCTCCGTGTGAAATAGTTAGAATCCATCCATCCATGTACAAGTTTGACCTAAAAAAAATATTTACAGATGGCATTAAAGGGTGACAATGTTTTGCCCTTTTGTGAAAGATTTTATCGAACAGCTAGCATGCCCACACAGGAATTTTTTAAGTTTGTCACAGCATGGGAAGAGCAATGTAACAATAACAACTTCCGTATTCCCTTTCCGTGGCTCGTGAGACTCGCACCTGCTTTCTTGTCAAATGTCCTGGTGGATTTAGCGCATCGTTGTTGTCCGTGTTGTGTTTGCATCAGGCCATGGTAGCTGCCCGTTTCCCGGACACCGAATAGACTGTCCACGTCTCTCCTCCGTGGCAGGGTGCCGTGGCAGGACTTCTAACGGCCATGGCAACGAGCGTCTGGGCAGTGATGGGCGCATACGGATCTGGGAAACAGCCCGAATCTCTACCCACCTCTATCGCCGGCTGCGGCACCAATCTGACCTCACTGGTGTCGTCCACTACACCACCACCAATGGACATGGGCCCGGTGCGAACAGAGGAGGAGGAGCCCAGGTGCGTAACAATGATTGCGTAATGTAATGGATGTTGATCGGTCGTGCTCTCAATTTGAGTTCTTATTTTCCCGCCTGACTTGGTCCGGCCGAACTCCGCCAAACTCACTCCACGGCTTGGGCTCGCTGCGCTGTTGCAAAGCTTTGTATGATTAAACGGCTGAGAAAGATTGCTCCGTTCCTATACAGCCCGGTGCGCGGTGGCACTGCGTACTTCAGTCGGTGATGAGAGCTACGTCACCGAAAATTGAATCCTTTGGGACGCTTATTTGATTTAGGTTAGGCTGAAACAAAATTTGTTGATTGAAACCTGTATGGTCTGTTTCAACAACGCTATTTAACGTTGTTTCAACAACGTTTGATGTTGGTCTGCTTCAACAACGCAGTTTCAACAACGCTATTATTTAATAAGTTTGGTACTCATCGTGCCATTGAATTACGCTTTGCAGAATGATTTTTGGCATTATAGATAGAATAGAATATAGATGGATAGAGATAGGTTTTAGATAGGATTTTTATAGGTTTATTTTTATAGATTTTTATAGGTTTATAGGTAAGATTATTATAGGTAAGATAGGTTTTTTTCGATTATAGGGGCCGGAGACACCGGCGCATACCTCACCACATGCTCTTGCTGGGCAGGCGAGCCAGACAGTCTCGCGACCTGCTGACGCCTGTGACGCTTCCTCCCACCGCGTTCGTCCTCGACCGATCCCACAGACCTGTCTTGGGTTGGGGCCGCTCACGAGAGCTTTCTCGTTTCCCGTCTTTTCTCGAAGACTTCCGTTGTCTTTCGAGAAATCTCGATTTTTTTCGGCGACGAAGAATTTCTCTTGTCCTGTCCGGCACGGGGGCGCTTGAGCAAGACGGCGCTTAAATCGCAGCACCTGACTGTGACTGGAACTCCGTTGGTAAGGGCGCGTGCATCCACTGCCCGCTTCCACACGTCAGCGAACGCCTGCTGGTTCCCGGCGCGGCCGACTGTGGTCGTTAGCTGCACAAGTAAGCGAAAGAGCGGCCATCTACACGGCCGACCGGGTATCCGGTCGGCCGCGCAGGCCTCGGGCCGCCGGCCACCGGACACTGCGCAGTCGTGGTCACGCAACAGGCTTTTCTCCCCGCTCTCTCCTCCAGCAGCCCGGCAGACCCTGGCGGCGCTCTCTCCTCCAGCAGCCCGATAGATCCGGGTGACGCTCTCCCCTCCAGCAGACTGACAGACCCGGGTGACGCTCTCTCCTCCAGCAGTCCCACATGTCCCGGTGTCAAACTATCCTTCCCCAGCAACAGCTGACCCATATGGCAGGCAACGAACAGACCCGGGTAGCACACAGCGGAGTACAATAGTACCAGTGGTTTATGTGAGACTGGTGTGTATTTTTTGTAGATGGTGTTGCCGTTTGCGCGTAGTTTCTTTAGAGCTGAACGTCTTGTGGTGTTATATTTCGGAGGCTGCATTTACTGCATTGCTTCGACAAACGATTTACAGCCGGAAGGGTCGATGGAACATGTAGCACTATTAAATGTGTGAACCCTGCTAAGCGTGCGAATGCAGATGGCATAAGTCAGACTAGTTTTTCATCACGAGACCAAATATTCTTTAAACAAATGCTACACCCACACCCACACACCCACACGCACGCACGCGTGCACGCATGCACGCACGCACGCACGCACGCACGCACACACGCGCGCACACACACACACACACACATACACACACACACACACACACGCACACACACACACACACACACACACACACACACACACCACACACGCGCTTATATATATATATACACACACACACATATATATATATATATACTATATATATATATATATATATATATATATATATATATATATGTGTGTGTGTGTGTGTGTGTGTGTGTGTGTGGTGTGTGTGTGTGGTGTGTGTGTGTGTGTGTGTGTGTGTGTGTGTGTGTGTGTGTGTGTGTGTGTGTGTGTGTGAAACATTTCTTGTCATTACCACGTCATTTCCGGGGCATCCCAGTCATTGTTACAAGCGTGGGGAAATGTATTTTGATCACTCCGTGCATTTCTAAAGAATATCGATGTGATTCATCGAACTTCCCCGCCGTCCGTGGGAAATATTTCACAAAAACCTGCTCATAATTCTCCTGTATCCGTGTTTCAGCTTTATAGAACAATACATCTACGGCATTTCGTACCAGTTGTATAACGTTTTCGGCTTGCCTGCTGTGCGTCATCGTGGGATCCGTCGTCAGTCTTATTACAGGTCGGTTCTTGGCTAACGCCAGAGTCGCGCTCTAAAACATGGGATGTTTTGTATTTTGGAAGTCTCCATATTTTGTTTTGTGGGGGCGGTTCACTCGGGCGACACAGGCCAACAATTGCTATGACGGACTATAAAGAAACCTTTTTACAGCATGCTCGCCTTAAGCTGCTAGCATTTTAAGTAGATCGCGACCAACTTCCTCGGTGTTCCGTCATGGCACAGATGCCGACTCCAGCATCGATTCTGATTTACTTGAGTTTTTCATTTTCAGGATGTAATCGACGGAAGGTTTCCAAATCGCTGATGAATCCTATCACCTACAAGCTCTTAAACGGGGTGAACCGTTTCCAACGTGATGACCCCTCCAGCCCCCAATACGGCGTTGACAACGCCGCCTTCCTGATGCCCACGTACAAGCAGGCCGAAGCGGGCTGACTGACACCGCTCGGTTGCGCTGCTCGTGAGGCAGCCAGCTGCTCGCTGTACAGAGGAGCGTGGCGCACCAGCGCTGTACAGACGAGCGCGGCGCACCGGCGCGGCTGCGACGACGGCTGCGCGGACGCCGGGGAGCCGACCGAGGTCTGTGTGACAGACCAGATGCTCGATGGTGGACGCCAAGACGACCTCTGAAGTCGCTATAATAAACTCTGCATTTAAACCATTAATAAATGGGTCAATACGCATGCAAGGGTATACAAAGTCGGTTGTAGGGTGGGTTTGGCTGCGCCACTTGCAATGTCTCCTCTACAGCGACCTGCAGTAAAAATATGGTCTAGCTTGCTCTCTGCTACAATGCGATGTTTTAGGCTCTGAATGAGATGCAAACGTGCTCATGTATTTTCTTGTGTAAATGCCGTATGACAGTCACTGACCTCTGTTTCAGCTTTTTAACGCGACGCCGCGGCAGCCAAGAGCTCATTGCGGGTGGTACAATACATGTCCGAATCTGAGTCCGCGTCTGTGTAATCGGGCTGAGCATGTCTCGAGGGCGTATTGACTCCTGGACTCGAGGCGTAGCCGCAGACGCACAGTCGTTTGTAGTGTACGTGTTTGTATATGGAAATTGAATGATGTGTTGTTGATCACAACGCTAGATGACCACGGAGTATACGCCGACGACGTCATGAGGTGATGAACGGTTCCAAGTCTCCCTGTCCCGGCGTTTGGAAGTGTTTCCTCGATTTTGAGTTATGTCTGGTCTCCATTTAAATAAAGAAAAATCGTGCCGCCTCGGATTGGAATTGGCACTTTTCAAAGAAGAACCGCACGCGCGAGAACCGTGTTTGGAATGAACCCAGAAACTTTTGAGCTACCAGGCGTAGCCTTTCCAAACGGCCTGGGAACATAATTTATTTTCGCTTTCACACATTGGGATATGGCGCAGTCTTAAATCATGTGCGGTTGCAGGCTTATAATTCCGTAATAACCCGCGCCAGTATCCGAATTCCTGTATTATATAGCACACAAGGGTGATTCGCGTGCGAAACTGCTTTAAACGTTTCGCATTGGTTGAGGCCCAACTGAAGGCCGTGATACATGGAAGTGTGCTTACGTACGCTAGACACGAATAACTAGATGATGGTATTTATCTAAGCCTTGAGCGCTGCGTGGCTCATGGGTGGCGGTATTTGATTGCCGTTTCTGTGGCGCCATGTATGCTTGAATGGTCGTGAAATAGTCTGCACAAGTTCACGGGCGTCAAGCTCACAAATTAGAGGACTTTCAGTCTTATAAAGGGCGGGGCTGCGTAAATTTCAAAATGGCTGTCTCAGCTCAAAACCCCATACAAATGTGGAGCACTGTCGTTAATAGGCTAGGTGACTACACAGTTGTTTTCAGCAAGAGAAGCTTAAACCACTACATCTGCCGTTTCATGCCTTTACCGGGCGCATAATGCGATCCATGCGACCCCCGGGTACACCGCTGCCTTGCGTTTTCACAGGAGCACGGGGTGGCATAATGCCATCCATGCGACCCCCTGGATACACCGCTGTCTTGCGTCCTCACCGGAACACAGAGTGCATCATCGCAAGAAAAGTCACCATTTTAAGGGCCAACCCACGAAGGGGAAGGCAACACGACTGGTCAGGGAGGAAATAAACAGCATGCCTTGGATCGGGGGCGGAGCAGCGGTGGAGGGAAAGGGATGGCAAAGAAGGCAGCTGCCCCCAAAACTTTCGAAAGGCTCCTTTTCCCAAGCTACAGGCATTGTAGCTGCCCACGAATTACCAAAATGCGGATCAAGGACGCCCCTTAGCTGAGCTAGAGAGCGTAATCGTGCTCAGAGATCCCTTTTCTGCATCAAGAGCCGATAGTTTGTATCATGAAGCCAGTTTTATGAATAAGGTTCCCATACTCTAGATAAGGAGACTCCATGTTGTAAGGAGACCCCTTTGGTGGCTCGAATGCCCCAATTACGAACTAGATATCCCTGTTCTGGGTTAAGAGACACCGTCTTAATTCAGGCAGCTTCATTTCTGGAATGGGAGGCCTTTTCCACGCATTAAATAACCGCGGCTTCGGATCATGATGCCCTGTTTTGGGACAGCGAGGCCCCGAATGTTTCACGAACGTCCATACACCAGGAGACCCTTTCTGGAATAGTAGGCACATGTTTAAGATTCGCTTGAATATGATGCA